TCGGCCATCCAGCCAGTTTTTGACCCAGCACAGCGTATGCCCGTCCAAGCCATGCCCAGCCAGCTTCTCCAAGAGGATGCTGTGGGAGACGATGTCAAAGGCCTTACTAAAGTCCAGGTAGACATCGTCCACAGCTTTCCCTTTAAGGTCCCTTCCAACCCAAACCATTCTGTGATTCTATGATCTGGCGCAGATGAGGGGTCTGAAGTTTAAATAATTTCAGTATCAGTTTTCCAGAGGTGCAGTACTTAAGTCTAAATTCTGTCGGTGGGACCTTGCATGTGTTAATTGTTGGTGCCTCTTGTAATGCTGCCGACATCTCACACGCGTGAAGACAGAAAGGCTGCGGACGGAATTTGCCATTGTTTAAGCCAGACTGACATGGTGCCAACTTGCAGGACAAGCACTGCAACCCAGTCACTTAACACTTCATTTTGTCATGCAGACAGGAGTGCGGTGCTGTGCTGTGCTCTTGCTGTGAACCAGGAAAGCGAAGGAAAAGCAATAGTTTGGAACAAAGAGACCCAGGAACCACAACAATGTTTGCGAGTCTTGCAAAAGGACTTCCAATGCCATCCTCATGCACCTGCTCCTCTGCTCATTTTACACACCACCACAAGCAGACCCACTGCTAATTTTCTGTTGAAAGAACCCTCTTTGGTTGTGGTCCTTAAAAGTCTCAATGCTTTGCTCAAATGCCAGCCTAAGTACCTGAAGCAGCCTCAGAAACTGAAACTGCTCTCAAACACCATCACAAGTGTTGGCGTGCATACTGAAGCTGACAGGGGCTGTGTAAACTTCATTTGGTTCCTGTTTGATTGAACAAATTTGATCCAAATAAGCAATGTTTCTGTGTGGTGCTTGTGCCTGTATCATCACACTCATCCTGTATCATCACCAGTCTCATTACTTCTCAGGCAGAAGGGTTTTAACAGACCTGGAGTAACTTTTCACCTTATGTGTTGGAAGAAACTACTTCAAAGTTAAGATCCCTCTTCTTCCCTTTTTATCTGCATGTGACTGCTACTGATAAGGGTAAGAATGATGTGAATTTTCTCAAGTCTGTAATCTCTGCAGGCCTCCTGCATCTCTAGAAATGCTTTGTGCACCCTGCTAAGTGGTTTCTTTCAAGAAGCACAATCTATACTTTTGTGAATGGAAGTGGCTCAGTTGTGTTATGTAGCTTCCCCCAAAAAGACACAAAGAAAACCCCTAGAAATCCAGAAAAAAAATCCAGAAAACCCCCAGGAAAAAAAACAAAAGCAAAACCAAAAAACCAAACAAAACCAAACAAATACAAACCAGGATCAGAAGTCACATTCTGCTCTGTTACATTGTCAGTGTCTATAGAGTATCTTTGTCTGCCACTCATTGAACTTGAAGGAAAGCTTTCCTCTGCCTTTAAAGATAGTAATCTGTACCCCAAACAAGGACATCGGCTACTGCAAGCTCAGTAGGTACAAAACAGCCAAGTTTCTGCATTCTTCATATGTAGCATTCAGTGTATTTGAAAAGCCCAGAAGTAACTTATCTTTGGAAGAGGAACAAGTGCTAAACCCATTGCTCAGACTCTCACCAGAGGTCTCTGGCACAAGTGGGTGGACACACATGTCCATGACGTGGACCAGTGTGCCAGACTGATCTCCCAGCAGAAGGAGATGGGACCACAAAATGATGCCCATGTGTAGGTGCACCCATCAGATGTGTGACATACGTCTGCACCCGGAGAGGACACAGCTGAAAAATGTTGTCAAGCAGCCTCTTGTCTCTGGGCAGCATCCATTCAACACCTGGGCTTTTAAACTTTGCCATTAAGAGGCTGCTGTTTTGGTATAAAGGGCAGTCTCAGCATGGGGACAGATGGTACTTTACCTCACTAGGGCCCTTGTAGTCCATATGAAGCTGGAGCCACAGGTGGCCAAGGTTTGAAAGCACCTTCCTCCCCCCCTTCCTCTGTGACTTTGCCATAACAACTGGAATTTGTTAGATGAAGACATCTGCCACAGTACAGGATGCGGGCTGGAGAGGGGTCCTCTCACATGCTCGAGGCAGGACCAGAAACTGCACTTGAAGGGCATGATTAATGGAAGAGAAGATGCTTACTCAGGGACCAAAGGGAGCTTCTTCAGGATGCTGCTTTGCTTGAGAAATGCGCTTTTAAAGTCAATCCTGCAGCTATATATACCAACAAGGAGGCTTTCAATTTCAACTTTTTGTTACAGAAGCTCTCATGGCCTTTACGTTTATATATTTTGGAGAGAAAATTACGTACAGCACTAGACTTTATCCATGTGGTCTTTTATCTGAAAGAGGTAACGTACAGATATCTTGTCCCAGACACTTGTGCATGACAGGGAGCAAAGTGAAGAAAGACTGCAATAACCTTTAGAGTGGTTTTATTTGTTCTAGTGCTGCAGGTGATACAGCTAGTTACTAGCTACCGTAGCTTTTTACTGTGGTTAAACAGCTGTCATGTTTATTAGAATTAAGTCCGCACCCAAAAAAGTAGCATCCTAACACAGTTGACTGCATTTTCTTAACTGATGCACAAAGTTCTGCTTAAAAGGCTGTGTTTAAGAGCATAACATAATGCTTGAAGCATACAGCAACAATGACAGGTTTTATACCAGTGATACTAACACCACAAACCCCCCACAGCTCGCCTGAATATCTTAATACATTTGAAGCTTGAGTTAAAGTTGTCCAACTTCTCTAAAGTCAATATAAAATGGAGCAAATTACAGATTTAAACTTTTCTTTAACTTCTGCATCTGCTGTGAAACTTACAGATTTTTTAGTAACTTTGTTTGGCTTTATTCTCCTCCAACATGTTTATTTTTCTTTTAAACTTAGGAGGTTGTAAATCTTAATTTTTAATCTACATGCCAGGTGCCTCAATGTGGTTTGGATTATAGATGATAAATCTCAGTTCTGGTAATGAGCACAGTGTTATGTATTTCTAAACGCTAAAACTTTGCATTAGGCTTTTTGTTTGGCAACTTGGGTGGGTTTCTGGTTTTTTTTTTTTGCCCCCCCCCCCTTTTTTCTTCAGGTTAGTATATGAGCTAATTATCAAACTGATGTTGCTCACCTGAATGGGTTCTTGTCAGTAAATTAAATCACCTGGTAGAAAAATTGCCATAACAAAAGCCAAACACAGCAAATACCCTAAAAGATAAGGTAAGTGTGCTGCAGATGAATTAATTTAGTCTTTTTGTAAATTCCAGCTTCATATGGCTTGAAGTTTTTAAATGCTGAACAATCCACAAATTTCTGTGGGGCTCAATTTCACTTATCAGACTGTGCACATTGTTTTCGTAAAAATACAGAAAGAAAATATACTACACCAAAAATAATGACTTTAAAAACTCAGGTATTTGTACACCATGTTTTGCAAGCAAGATACGTTTAGCAATTTGATGGTAGCATTACAAGTTTCTGTGTGTCAAAGCCAGCTAGCCAGCAGCTCACGTTAGGTTACATGGTGCTTTGTTTTTAACCATGATTTCATGTTTATTGAAAGGGTACAGTAGCATACTGTTACTCAAAGCATAGCAAAAACATTAAACCCCCAGATTTTCCAAAATATTTGAATATCAAAAAAGTAAAGATAACTTAAGCTAACTTAATAATAATAAGTTCTGTCACCCTGATCAAATCCCTGTGTCTACGTAGCTTCCTTGCTCAAGACACGCTTTTTTGGGTATAAGTTTCATTCCCCAGTACTAGGCAGCTTTTAAGATATCTAAGGTTTGAACCAGCAGTACTCCTCTGTTTCTTCTTCTTTCTCACCTAATGGAGAATTAGTTCAGTTTGCTAGGAGTTTGGGATGCAAACCCTTAAGTTTTCTTAGCTCAAGGTGTCTGGAAATTTTATTTTCTGACTTCTCAGTTTGTTGGTTGCTTCATTTCCAGAAGAACACTGCTGCTGTGGGGAGTTATGATTTCAGAGAGAAAAATGACAAGTAGAAGTCCCTTGGAGGAAAGAAGATCTCATGGAGAGGCAAAATGCAGAAAGGGGACCCAGAAAAGTGTGTTCAACACTGACCTGTACTACTAAGCAGCTAGGCTGTTGCATTTTCAGACAAGATGGAGGGAGTTGTATTCATGGGTAAATTTCTGCAGCAATACTCACACAGTACTGGTCTGACCAACTTGTTGAACCCCTTCAGACAAAATGCACTTTTGCTGCCAATGATTTTCAGGAGGATATATACAATCCTGACACCCACATGACACTGGGCATGCTTAGTAGGGTCACTTGAACCTTCTTGCCTCCAGGTTGAGTGTTGTGGGGGGCGGGTTCTTAATGGGACTGGCTATGTCTGGGCTTTCCTTTTTGCACAGGAAGACTGGAAAGTCTTTATGCTTGATGCAGGGGATCAGCAAGCAGCATGAAGTTAGAATGTAGGTTTTTAATTTCTCATATCAGAGAAACCTAGCTGATCTTCCCATTCATCAAATTCATCATGGCAGGTGAATGAACCATTCAGGTGAATTATTCTGCAAATTGTCTTGCTTTCTTTTATTTCTTTCATTTTCTATCTTTTTTTTCAGTTGACTATAATCTATAGCTGCCTGCCTTCATCTCTTTTTTTCCATTACCTGGTAAGCATTTTCTTCCTTACAGATGGAGCATTTTCTTTCAAAGTTGGAGGCACCTGGCAGGAGTTGTGGCTAAAAGCAGATAGCATCCCCCATCAGAGGAGGCTGCTGACTTCCAGAGGTGCCGTGCCTCCAGATTGCCTTCTCCCAGGTGTGTCTGGGGCTCAACTTCTCATGCCATTTTAGAGACTAGGTGGGATTGGTTTGAAATTGTGTGAAATATGCTTCACTCAGCACAGCTTCAGAAAGGCACTTTTGGGAGATAAGCTGTTGTGGTATACTATTTCCTCGCCTCACCTCTCCTCAAATCCCAGACCACTGGGCTTAGCATACACATGGGCAGCATGAGAATGTATTTTCCTATTTGCATGTATTTGCCATTTAGGCAACATTTAGTCAATATTCAGCGCTCTCAAATCTTAAGGTCTGGCCTTCGTGGTCAGTGTAGGTGTTCCCCAGTGGTGGCCCATACCGATAGCTCTCCACACTCTCAGCTTGTTCAGACTTTGCAGGGACTGGGTCATGCTGGTAGAGCAATGCTGACTTTATCATCCCAAAGTCTTCCTGAATCTTCATCCCTGAATAGATAGCACCTGAGACATTTTCAGCCACATGGGTATAGCTTTGAAGATTTTTCATATCACAGATGTTGTCGCTGTATTTCAGCGTGGATGGCTTGTAGGCCTGGTAGGACACCTTGGTGGTGGTTGTGATGACGGTTTGCAATGGTGGGGCTATGGGAGAGGGGCTGGAACCATATCTGCAGGGGTAGTCCCCACCACAGTAAGGGTGATTGGTGCTTGTTTGCATCTGTCCATAGTCACTCCGATCTCCACTGCCAGTTTTCCCCCAAGCTGGTTTCAGTCCATAATATCTGCCTGGGTTATCAAAGCTCTTGTCATGGGCAGTCACAGCATTGTACTGAGATCCATTCAAATCAAGAGGATCAACATCAATGGCAGGACTTGTCAGATCTTTGTAAAACGTTGGGTAACGGCTGGAGCTTATAAAGGTAGGAACTCCAAACTCATAGTTGCATGGCCTGGGCATGTAGATCCTTGTATTGGGGCACTTCGGATATGGCGATAACTGGTCCTCTTGGAAGTTGGCCAAGTCATAAGATGCTTTGTAGAGGTCAGCATTTTGCAGTGAAGGGTAAGGCTGGGCTGGAATTGAAAAATTGGTGTCTGTGATGATGCCAACCCTTTCTGGGCCATCCATGCAGGGCAGACTCTGTAGGTTATTGACATAGCTGCTGCTCTCGTGATACCTTCCTGCCTGCACAGGACAAGTAAATATTTGAGATTCAGGAAGAGATTCTGCTCACACACATGTATATGTCTCAACACTTGTGCTATTGCTCATTTCTGCCTCAAATGAACAGAGGTAGCATGATGTAAAGCTTTGTTTTGCCCTGGTTTCCCCACTACATGCTTATAACATGTAGTGTTATATTGACTTTTTAATTGACTAAAAATCTTCACTTGCAACACCTTTTTAATTGACTCATGACTTTGACTTACCTCTGAGTTTAGAGGTCTCTTTTTCTGGGAATGGTGAGAAGACATTTGCTTCTTAATTGCACTTCGTCTTGCCTCTGCCTCCAATTTACTCTCTGGTCTGGGGTGGTCATGGACTCCTTTAGCCTAAATTAGGATTAACAAAGCATTAGATGTGAACTGGAAGGAGGTAAAAGAAGAGAAAACACAGTAAGTAGAATAAGTGGTAGCCACAGTATGGTACATGTTTTGGCACAAGAGAACAGGGAAGAGAAACTAAAGAAAAAGGAGAGATTAAATTTTTAAAAAAATAAAATAAATCATGATTTGCAGGTAGATAGAAGTAAAAAGTAAGGGAGAAGTCAGTGAGGACTGCAGAACTGCGAGGCTGAATCATAGAGGAACAAAGACATTCCCCATGTCTGTGACATTCAGGACTAGCTGATCAGAACCCAGGGAGAAAGAATAAAGGGATTATAAATTTAGTTTGGTTGGTTTTCTGCAGTCCAAGATCTCAGTTTTGCTTTCAACAGCCACTGCTAAAACAGTGTAAATAGGCTTTAAAGACATTTCGCACCACCAGATGGCAAATATTCTCTACTCTAAAAGAATCAATGTCTTCTTGAGTAGGACTGAAAAGTATACCCTGGAAAGCCATCCAGAAATGCTTTGAAATATCTGTGGATACACAGATTTAGGTATCGAAAGCTATACTGACACATGATAAAACACTATATTCTATGTCCTTACCCATTACATTTCCCCTTAATGAACTGCCATATAGTCCCTAATACAAAGTAGAAAACTTGAAATTGCTTTTAAAATGCTGCCCTTTCTCAAATAAAAATAAACTTCTAGGTGAGAATTTATTAGCTATTTTGATGGTAAAAATCTTCAGCTTGTGCACATCTTTAACAGAATATCTGAATTAAAAAACACCCACCAAATTCCATGTGATTATTCGGGAATGGGGCCAGTTTGCTTCCATCTACTGACTGGAGAATAGAATTCAATGCAGTTTGGATCAGGAATAAAAAAAATAATCCAGCAGAGAATGTAGTTTCATTGCACAGAAGCTTTTTATGAAATTTATGAAAATTATGAAAGAAATCAAGATGAAATTTTACATTTCAGCTTTCTAAATGTCATTTTTTATGGCAAGTTTTCAAATACTTCTAAAATTCAAAGGTTATTTTCACATGACGTGGAATTTTCACACTCAAACTTCTGCATTTAAGTTAGCCTTTTCTTTCC